CAAAGGCCAACCCTACTGACTGTTAAACTGTAGAGCCTGCTTGGATGCAGGATATGCTTGAAGAATCTGTGGAAATAGGGTTCAGTGTATCTAATCATCTGACTTCCCCCCAGAAGTCAGACAGCCAGAATTGTTTGTCATAGTTTCAGGCTTTAGGAACTCTGAAAAAAAGCCATCTGGGAAGAACTGCTGTTAAGCTCGCGTGGGAGCTTCATCATGAAGAAACAGACACAGACCTTTCATTTCATGGAAAGAATTCCCCCTTCTCAGAAATAGAGCTGGTCTTCTGCAGTTCAGAGGGACCTAGGTGCTCCAAAGGCCTGTATTCATGAGTTCGTGAAATTCTGAAAAGGCTACTCAGACCACCTCGACATTTTTACCTGCTGCCTGAGATTTCAAGTTCACCCTGTCTGTGTACACACATGTGAGCTATCCTCTGGTGCTTTAGAGCGGCAGGCCTTGTGCCACAAGGAGACAAGTGCTCTCTCCACAGGGAGCATATTCCTTCCTTAAAGAGAAGCAGGCACATCAGAGCCTGCACTGCTAGACAGTGGAACAGATGAAGTTGGGGCTTGAGGACAGGAAGGCCAGCGAGTTGGGAGCCAGAGCTCAGGTTCTACCTCTTCTACAATCAGCAGCATGGACACTTGACTCTCCCAGTAGAGGTACTGAGTTTGGTGGCATGGTTAAAAAGAAAGCTCTTCATAAATGTTTCTGGCTCAGTGGATGGATAAATGTGTCAGGCAAGTCTTTTATCTTGTTCTTGAAATTGAATCTCCACATCGTCAGAGCATTTGGATATGCAGACACGCTTTTCTCTTTTATCAACAATCTCTGGAGGCCTGACCTGTGCAGTCCACATGTTAAGGACCAAGAAACAAAGAGAGAGAACCTACCCTCCAACTGTGTCCCAACTAGCAGGACTAATAGGATGTGTGTGAAGAGGCCTCTTGGTTGAGAAGGCAGGGTGGGTGAGGGGGTTCTGGGGAAATGGCTCAGTAGAATAAGCACTTGCCTGGCAAGTGCAAGGGCCTGAGTTCAATCCCCGGTTCTGCCAAAAATAAATAAATAAATAAATAAATAAATAAATAAATAAATAGAGAAGGCAGAGGGGGAAGACTTTCTCCTTCACAGAGTTCTGGCCATCCCTGGGTGGATTCTTGGAAGGTGTTCATAACCCTTACCAGAAAGGCAGGGAACCATTTTCCAGGAAAAGGTGAAGAGCCCACAGGCAGTTTGTTTTCAAGGACCAGACCAGCCCTGAAAAGGAGTGTCAGAGCAATGTACCAAGAGTTGGAAAAAGCACAACAGAGACAGAAATGCATGCTGCGGTGCTAGTGTAACATTGCACATGTTACATCTACTATTAGCAGACTCAGAAATCAAAGGCTCTGGGGGAAAAAGCACTTTTTCTCTAGAGTCAACTCTGCAGCAGTGTTTCTATCCCACTTGGTTGTTTACCACTCTGCTGTGGTAGCCTGTGTGGGCAGAATCCTAGTTAGCATGGGGAATGATGCCAGCTTCCTGGGGAAAGTCTCCTTGGTTCCGTCCCATGCCGCCAACCTAGACACCTATCCAAACCTTTCAGTTTGCACTTTTGACCTTGTGTGTGTATGTGTATATGTGGGTGGGTGTGTGTGTGTGTCCCCACCAGCCCCAGAGGAAGCCTCTTTGCTGGTTCTCTGCTCTCCAAGCTCTCAGTATTTGTCCTTCAGACCATGATTCAAAATGTGAAGTTACAGTTATTCAATAAAGTGCACCCAGGCAGTGGGTTTGGGGGACACACCTTGTCTGCCCTGTACACAGGAGCGCTTCTCCACGGTAGGACAGACTGGCTGTGTCTCAGCAGTAGGAAGGACACCCTCAAGGATGATGGAACTTATGGGCATAAGAAGACTTCTCCCTTCCTGTGAGGGATTTACAAGGTGACAAGCAGGTGGGGGCGGGGGGAGGAGTTCCTCCCCTAAGCCCGTATCTCACTCTCCTTGTTAGCACTTCCAAGCTGCTCTTTGGAAGAAGGCTTCAGATGAAAGGCTTCCTAATGAGCAAATGATGTCCAAAACCAGAGATGGTACATTCATAAAATAAATACCCTGGCATATGAAAATTACAGCTAGGATAGTCAAAAGAAAAAGATGAAAAGCCAAAAAAAAAAAAAAAATCACCCTTATTCTTGAGTCCAGAAGTTCTAAACATTTAAGAACTCTTGGCTTCAAATTTTATTCATTAAAAAGAATCACATTGTAAAAATTTCCTCCTTTGTCATTATGAGAATTGTGAGGAACATTATTTTCAAATTCCATAAAAATCCAAACAGCTACTTTGTTCTTACATGGTCCATTTAATGTCAAATATTCATACTGGTGTTCATAATTTTAAAAAGACCAAACCCCATAGACAAGGCCACCATCTTTCCAAAAACTAAATGAAGACAATTCCTTAAATGTTTCAGGGCAACACTCTTTCACACTGGTCTCTCCAGCCATTGTGACTCAGTTCCTGGAGTGGCTGAGCACTTAAAACAGCCCAGTAAACTCTCAGAGAGAGAAGTCAGTAAAAATACAGGCTACTAAAGTGAAACCAAAACTACGCAATATTCCTTAGTGACTTGGCAAGTCATTTCAGGCTTGGCTGTGCTATAAGGTAAGTCCAATAAGAGTACAAGATATCAATATATCATCACATTTGTCTGTCTGTCTATCTATCTATCCAAGTTGATGAAGGCAGGAGTTTAGAAATATTTTACTGCATGCAAAAAGTACTTCAGTGTCCAGGCCTGTTACTAAAGCAGGACTACCCTCTCATCCCACCTTCCCCTTTTTCTGTGCAGACACTACATTCAATGGGCACATGGTGGGGGGAGTCAGAAAGAAGCCTGGTGCAGTGTGACACAGTACTGGGCGAGAAAGGAATGGTACCAGAGGGGACTGGGAAGGTAAGGGACAGAACATGCCTGGCCTTGCAGGCCTTAGTCAAGCAGTTAGATTCATTACAAGAACAAAGGGAACTGCCTGGAGGGGTTTAGGAAGTGAGTGTATGATGTAATTTACATTTTATAACGATTGCTCTGCTTAACTGTCTGAACTGATGCCCGTTTGCCCTTGATCAGAATACAAGCTCCTGGATGGCAGAACCGTAGCCACACACCTTTCATACCTCCACATTATGCACTGGCAGAATTTTAAAACAATATCTCTGACTTTTGCTCATAACAGAAGCACCATAGGCTCACTTATATTTAGTTCCCAGGACTCTACTCACAGAGTTTCGATTCAGCAGGCCTATGATAGGCCTGAGAATTTATATTTTTCTATGCGGTGGGGATGAGATTCGCGTTATAGGTTCAGGAACTGCACTTAGAGAGCCTGTGTTTAAATCTGTTTGTTGAATAAATCAATCGATGAAGGGACATGGTTAAAACAACTTTAAACAAAACAATGAGTAGCTTGAGTGTGACCTGAATGGGAATCATTTATGCATACTGCATGATGATCACAAAAGGACTAAGCTATCGTATACAGAAGCACTCTGATAGGAAATAGATCACAGTGATTAGACAAGGTAAGGTACTTAGATACTGCACTGCCAAATTTAACTATAAATTAAATGCAATTCAAAGATGATTTTTTTGCAGAAGTATGTGACTTATTTGTGTAGGCAGCTATTACATTTTTCAGCCCAGAAATGATATGAGGTGGGGAGGCATCCCTTGGTGCCTTTCCCAAACTGAAACTTCGGCTAAATTTTCCCTTAGAACTCAAGAACAAAGCGCACAATGGCCGGTGGCTATGTGACTCAAAGTGCGGCGTTTGTGAATATACTGACTGGGACAAAAAGAGGACTGAAACTTTTTTCTGAAAGGAAATCTTAAAAAGTCTAAAGTATGTGCATATTATGCTAAAGTAGAAATGCAACTCAAGAATACAAGTACATGGAGAATCAAAACCAATACAAGAAGGATGCACATCAATCAGATCTAGGACAGGTGGTCAGACTGCTGCACAAGGAGCATGTGTCCTGCCACATGTTAGGCTTTAGTTTCTATGTGCAAACTTCTATCTATCCAAATATTATCACTACAGGCCAATCAGTAATGGACAGGTCTGAGCCAGGTGCAGCCTTGGGCTTTGGGATTCAGCAAGAGTCTTTCTCACCTGGAGCTGAAGGCCTAGGGCTATGTTCTGCTTGGGGAAGAAGCTGGTTAGAGGCACCATAAGACTGTAGTAGTGATGCTAGGTAAACCCATCCAGTCAGCAGATACAAAGCATTTCATAGTCTAGTCACATTTCAGAGTGGTAGCGAACCTGTGGTGTGCATGCTGCAGCAGGCTGTTGTTACCACTGAGAGCTCTCAAATGTTTGCCATCAGTGGTTAACAGTTCACCTGGTCAGTAGAGGAATCTAAAATATCAGAAGTCATAGGATCACCTGGCACAGAGGCAAATGTCTATAATCTCAGCTATTTAGGAGGCTGAGGCAGGAAGATCATGTTTAGGGCCTACCTGGGAAACTTAGCAAGGTCCTATTTCAAAATAAAAAATCAAATGGGCTGATGATATTACTTAGTGATGAATGCCCCTTGGTTCAATCTCCGGTACTCAGTGGGGCCGGGGTAGCTACAGGAGCAAAATGAGAAAGTATTGAAAAACATGGGCTTTGGCAAACAAATAATAAATACAACAGTTATTAAATGGCAACCAATGAAGGACCCTCCTCTCCTTATATTTCAAGACACAAACAACACTGAGCAGCCACTAGGAGACTGATGCAACAACTTAGATCATGCGGATGACAAAAGCAGATCACTGATCTTTGCTACAGGGAATCATGGAACAGTCTGGCAATGGATTAAATACAAAACAGCAACCCTGCACTCTAGCAAAAGCTTAGTACATGTGAGCTCCAAACTCCAAGGTCATTACTTCAGAGCCTCTCTGATGCCCAGCCCCCCACCGCATTTGCAGTTACCCACCTCCAAAAGGGTCAAAGTAAACATTGGACCTGCTCTGGTGTTAAACTGCCACCGGATCCTCCCTGCTGTCTCCCTCCTCTCTTCTTCTTTACAGACAGGTAAAGTTGGATCTCTTGAAGGAACTGGGGGCTCCCACTCTAGGCAAAGGTTGGACAGGTGATCAATGTACAGCATGAGATTTGGCTGTGCCTATGTGCCTCCGACAGAGCTGGATCATCTAGGGCAATGAAAATGGTAAGCAACAAGAAAGCAATATTAACAGCAAGGGTAGGGAAACCCAGGCAGCACACACAGTTTTCTAGGACACTCAGCAAGCATTCCTCTCCTCATTCATTCACTCTACATACAAATCAAGCACCATGCTAGGCTCTGGATGGAGACAAGGCAGAGACAAATGGAAATGGAGGCCCTGCTCTCATGGAGCTCTGGGCTACTCTGGAGACAATGAGGCAAGCAATTACAGGACAGTGAATCAGGGAACCCAGAGGGTGCTGTGGAGTACAAAGCAAAGGCAGCCAGTCCAGATTGCAGGAGGGGTTAGAGAAGCATCCAGAAGGGACATTTAACAGTGAGTCTAAGGACCCATAAAATTGCCAGAGAAGACTGGGGTAGTTCAGCATGTACCAGATCCTAAGACAAGAGCACTGGACTCCTCTGAGGGGTTGATATCTGTTTGTTCTCCAGCCCATCATCCATTATTACCCATAGGATGGAGAACTGCAGTATAGAGGCCTTGTCTACAGACGAGTCTACCATCCAGTCATGTTTCTGCATCACTGGCAGGATCTCAGGAAGGGGAAAGACTTAGGAAATAACACATAATAGTCTTTAGCCACAAGGTTCTGAAATAGACCCATCTGCAGAGGCCTGTTTGCTGCCCACCAGCAGCATGGGTGAGATGCCGTCCTCAGCTAGAACTCAAAAGAGACAAGGTGCAGGACTACAACTTGGCATTACCAACTCCAGAGCCCTAACGCATCTTCCCTTTGGCTCTCCCATTTTGCTCTCTCTTCCCTCTGAGTCCCTGATAAATTGCAGAGGGAGGGAGCACTTTATGCTCAACTTTGGTGGGTTTTTTTATGTCTAACAGGCTATCACAGACATAATAATTCCAGCTTGCCTTATGCAATTAAGGGAAACCAGATCATGGATGAAGCTAATATTATCAAGGGTCTTCATATGAGGAAAAACAAAACAAAATGTTTGTGAAAGTCCAGCATCTTGAGTGTTGTTGTCCAGGGTTCTAGCAGCCTGTGTGTGATGAAAGAAACCATTGTAAGGTAGTTTAAGAAAGAGCAGTAAGCACAGGGTCATCTCACAAAAAATGCACGGTCCAAAGTACCATTTGATGTTTTAATATTAGCACATAACTCAAGTCCTACAAACAACATCCCTCACTGAGAACAGAAAGAAACAAAACACTTCTAAGAAGCAGAGCAGGCAGTTATTTATGAGACAAAGAAAGGATGTCTTCTTAACCTATGACAACACAAATTTGTTTAGGTTTTCCCTCCACTAAGTAAGTAAGCAATTAGGTTTTTTTCCAATAAAAATATCCCTGTACATGTGCAAACAGCAGAGGCAATCATATAATTACCCTGCCCAATCAGATTCAATTGCTGACAGTTGAGTTCCCACTGCTCATTAACTTCAGATCACAGCGAGGTCTTTACGGAAGCCCTTTCCATCTCTTCACAAAGGTTCCTATGATACCAGGAGCAACCCCAGCACCGCCTCACGCAGGCTAATCATCCCCAATTGCCAGGGCCAAGGCCAGCCTACTCTGGCTTGCCTCGGCAAAAATAGAAAAAGAAACGTGAAGACACGCTGGCTTAAACACCCTTATTTCATTTGAGGATCTCACTTCTAAATATAATAGTAACCTTTCACCCCCACACTTTAAGTGCCATAATTATGTAATTAAAACCAATTATGTCATTTACTAGAGACTTTTTCAAGTCAATTACCTTAATCATTGACCTCACAAGATTTCCCATTCTGACCTGCAACAGTGAGAATTGGGATAAATTTAGACACTGGTTTCCAAAGGTTGATATGATCTAGATGGGTGGTTTGCAGCTGGTCTAGATTCCTCTCGACTATAGGACCTTAAGTTAATCTTTTTACCACTGTTAGAAGTTTGCCCACTCCTTCTAATATACTAACTGCTACCTTCCTTGACAGTAACTTCCATGACAAAGATGAGAAAGAGAATTACAAAGTTATCTCAAGGTAAGCAGAATACTAGGAATGCTAGGACAAGAACCTAAGTCTTCTGCTTCTTAGTAGCAAATTGTGTGTGTGTGTGTGTGTGTGTGTGTGTGTCCATCCTCCTATGCATCTATTTTCCCTATTTTTATTCTCTTCCTCCAACTTTCCTTTTGAGGCAGTAACACATCTGTCCCACTTGCAGCTCCTATGCGTCACATGGAATACCACTACTAAGGGATATGCTCTACCCTAAATCAAACCCAGTCTGCCCTAGTACTTCCCCAGCCCCAGCATTATTTCTGGGATGAGCACATGATCCCATGCAAGCCAATGAGACACAGTGAGACTTTGTGGAGAATCTTGGGAAAGGGCCTCTTCCCTACAGTCTGTGGATGTGAGAAGATATAAAGGCTAGTGGTTGGCAGCCATCTTACCGAAAGCAAAGGGGTCGATATGGGAAGAAAAACTGGTTCAGGAGGAATTCCTTCACACTCCCAAACTGCTCCATGCTGAGAGGATGCACGAGCTCTGAGAACATGGGTCGGCTCCCAAAGCATGTGGGAGAAAATATGAAAGGTGTCATCGCCCACAGCCTGGGCAACCCTGATTATAAGGATGGAATTAATTGAGCGTGGCTGTGAGTAGCAGTCTTGCCTCCTGCTTGCAACAGTTAAATGTCTCCAATTTTTGAGTTATTTAAAGAACATACCATTTTATGGGCAAGAGGAAGCACTTTCATCTGCAAAATGATTTTTATCACAAACTAAACATCCTTGTAACTTTTTGGTCTTCTTCTTCTATCAAAGTTTTCTCTTCTTGGAGTTAAGACAGCTGCTAGGGCTGAGTAGACTTCCTTCAACCTTGCACTTTGCCTGGTTCACTGGTCCCCTCGTATATAACTCCCGGGCTCATGAGGGTGTAAGGACTCGGGACACTTGCATTCATCAAGAGGGAGCATTTTATTTCTCTTTGCCTTTTCCCTGGGTCTTGAGAGAAAGTAAAAGAACTAGAATTTTTTTCAATGATAGGTTTCAACGTTGGTATTATTGAGGTTGGGGCCAGATCTTTTTCTGTGTTTGGGACAGTACCCCTGGCCTTTACCCACCAGATGCCAGTAGAACTCATTTTCTCAATATGGGGCAATTAGCAACATCTGAGGATGTCATCAAACATCCAGGGTAGGGCCAGAATCGTGCTTTGTTGAGAACTGCTTTAATAGAATGTTTATGGTACTAATTAGATTTTCTTTATAGCTCCTTTGAAAATACAATTCCTTTCAGTATTCTATTCTTCTCTACTTGGAATGTGAAAGTGATGGGCCCATGTAAAATATTCTATGAGGACAGCTAACTAGAACAAACAAACAAAAACTAAGAATACCCAAGGAACTATCAGAGCTGTAAAACCACTGAATTCTTTTCTGGAAACATGTAGATCAAGCTAACCTTGAACTCACTATGTAGCCCAGGCTGTCCTCAAACTTGTGGCAAACCTCCTACCTCAGCCTCCTTAGTGCTGGGTCTACAGATGTGTGCCACCACTCCTGGCAAAACCACTAAGACTTGCTGACCTATTAAGGACTAAAGTAAAAGAAAAATGCTATCAAATGGCAATAATTTTGTCTAAAGACAAATGAGAAGAAAAGAATATACAGGAAAATATTAGAAACGAAAACTACCCCAGCTGTCTATACAGTGAGTCCAAAGTGGGTATCTGACTTCTCACACTTAGAAAAAAAAATGGAAATGTAATATGAATGGTGTTTTCTGGATTCAGGTACAGTGAAAAACATGAAGGGGCCAGTCTCAGAAGAGAGGATCCCTCTAGGAAAAGCTTCAACTTGCCTACTTAAAAAATAAAAAAGTAACACTTCATTTATTTGGACAAATGTGGGTGTAGACATTTAAAATCTGCAAAATTGATGGGTTTCTAGAACATTTTTCAAGGAAAGGCACTTACTTGACGCTAGTGCCTACAGGAACTCAGAGTGGACTGGCAGGAGTTCTATTTTCAGCATGGGTTTGAATGAGAAGCTAGAAGTCACTGAATTTCCACCTGCACTACAAGGCTGAGGTAGAGAGATTTGAATTTCTTTGATCCCTTCATGAAGACAACTGATGCATCCTGTCACAGGAAGCTAGCTGGGGACAGCTGAGGGATGCTAGAACAATTTGGAACCCTGATGCCAAGTTTGTGCCTCATGTCTCAGGTTGGTGGACTCCTGGAGGTTCTGAGAGCTGAGCACTGTGCAGTTTTGTATGTGAGTAGTCTCTGTGGGGACTCGCTGGCGCAAGCATGCTTTGGCTCTGTGGTTGTCTGGCCAAAGGTTCTATTACCATGGGGTGGTGAGGTGTAAGGGAGCCCAGGGATTCTGTGGTGGCACAATGCTGCTTCTCAGCTCTCCTGCAGCTGCCCCTTGGCCATCAGCTTGGTCCAGCTCCTCACTCTTGCGGCCCCTCATTCTCCATTTGCCCTCGCATCTCCACTACTTCTGGTCAAGTCAGACTGCTCATGGAGTGACATCCTTTCACTGGAGAAAAGATAAGAATAAAGGGATCTCGGAGGGGCCGTAGCTCATCTTCAATTCTTTTTTTTTTGGGGGGGGGTCTGTTGATGTTTCTTTTGTCAAAGAGCTAACACATAGAACAAAGACTAATAGAAAAGAACTTACCTTGAGGTTCTAGCAGAACTCAAAGTGACTCTTATGAATTGTATAAACAACTGTACTTTCTAGAAGTTAGTAATTAAATCTAGAGGAGCTAAACCTCAAACCATGGTAAATAAAGAGTGATTTTCTCAGAGCACTGAGAATTAACTTGCCCCCTCTGGGATCCTCGTCCCACCCACAAGCGTTCCTCCAAATACCTGGATATGTCAACAGGGATAGACAAGTAATCCGTTTCCCACTTTAGCTGATACCAAAAGCACAGAATGAGTAGCGTGTGTTTAGGCAGAGGTTTCTCCATGCGCTGGTGTGTATTTTGATGGAGGCACTCCTGACTGAGT